CTCCTCCTTTTGTGTTACTTAAAGAAAATGTTTTTATCAAAAAACACATCAACACAAGCATTTTCTAGCTGACTAGCTAAGCTAGTTTTGCTAAGTACTAATTGCTTATACACTTCAGTCCAGTAAACTTTTGATGAGGGAATTATTTCGATCATCTATTATGTGCATGCAAAAAGTAGTTATAGGCAGTATTACATAATGTAAGTTATGTAACAAACTTCAAATTGTTCTGCTATTTCTTTTTTCACAAGACCTGGTTTTGGTTTCTCTGTGATAATAATAATTAATATTATTATTTGTGCATTAAAATTCTATCCGCACCTTCAATACTTGTATCAGTTGCCATTCTTTTTTTTTAGTTCTCGATACTTTGTCTTCAATTTTCTATATTTTTCTATCCACTAGTAAATAGTGTTAGATGAAAATAATTTATTATTTTTATCTCTTATGTACTTTTTCTATTTCTTGTTCGTCACTTACTATATGCATTTTTTCTAAAAATAGAACTAGATGATAAAATGTAAATTGTTTAAGTTAGCTTACTTGGTGGAGTTTCAAATTCGATACTGCTATCAAGTTTTTGCGTCTCTAAAAATAAGAATAACTGTTTAATTATTAGTTTAAAATAAAAAGGATCATTACCAGGCTGTGAACCTTTAGGTGTAGATGTTTTGCAGCAGTAATAGCTACAAAATAAATAAATAATAATAATCATATTGAAATGCTTACATATGTTATGCTCGGCTGGATTGGGGGAATCAGGGAAAACGTCGTAGTCTTTCGCAGTTGTTTGTGAGGATATTATCTTCAATAGAATCATTTTTATCCATAATAGAATCAACTATAGAAATAGTAGGGAAATATTTAGGCTAAAATTATTGCCAACTGATATCTGCTGCCTGCTTCTTCATTTCATGAGCTAAGTCTGACTTCCTATATAAATACAAAATTAACAGGGAAATGTGTAAGACCTAAACATCATTTGCAAATCACAAAAATAAAATTAATAATCAATTTCATTCAATGATGGATTCAACTATTATACCAACAAAAACACAATAAATTATAAAACTTACTTTTTTCCTTGATCATTTTTTTGCCTGTGCTGATGCATTTGGCCCTGTAGTATAGGCTTTGCTATTACATTAAACTTAAAGTAAGTCATTTATAGTTATAGTAGTACTTGCATGCTCCAACAGAAATATTAAATCACATGCATTTACGTCACTTAAATAAGCCAAATAATATAAGCATTCAACTTTTAAATTGCACACTAAAAATAAAGGTAGCTAAGCATGCAGCATCTGCATGAATGACATCCAACATCATAGCAGGCAATCAGCTTACGTCCAACATCTACTATTTCAGCTTCATACATTTCCCCATCATCCCACTTTGTATTTATTTTGTTCCCCAATAAAAATGATGTGCGTCCATCACAAGGGATTTCCAGAAATTCCAGTTCATCTTCATTCTTCATGCTAATAACACCGTCATCTATATATTTGACTATATAACAAACACCTATAAAACAAAAAAATTAAAAACTTCATTAAGTAAACCATAGTCCCTGACTTTCATATCTCTTTGGTCAACTCATATCACAGCTGAATGGAGTAATCTGTGGATGAATTACAACAGCAAGGTACCAACTCTTCGTCTTCTTTTCCGTTTTGTAGCTGCCGCATTTACGCAACTGGTACCATGTGCGCATGCACGTGCAACTGTAACCATGCCTAGAAAAAGGTGCGGCTATGGGCGCGGTCGAGGGTGGCCATCATATTATTAATGCCCATCATCATCGTGTCATATCATCTCTACTTAGTCAAAAGTAGCTCATATCTCTATTGTCAGACTGTCAACAACGGCAGGAGTGTCTTAATTTAGCTCATTCCTGGGTACTGAGCAAGAGTTGCACTGCTTACATTCCATCTGAGTACTGAAAATTTTTCTGGCACTGAGTCACTAGTCAGTAACCTGGCGATTCTTCTCACCCATCATATTCTCATACAATGTTAATAAATCTGCAATTCAGTGTAACTGTAATTTTGTGTGATCTGGCATTCATTTCTCTACTGAAATTTCATGGTCACGCACCTCATCATATATTTATTGCCCACAAGCCTGGCCAGCCTATGGGGCTCTATCTCTTAAGGAGTTTCATATCGGGTTGACTCTAAATGTCTCTATTTGAATCTGGTGAATTATGGATTTTTGGCTTGGCAACCCTTTCTATTTAGAGATACTCTTTCATTTGGCGTCTGTTATGAGAAGGAAATCGCTCTTTTATACCTATCATAATCACCAGTGCCGGGCGAGTTAAGAAACTTCTTATGGT